GGCCAGCCAGGGTTATACAGTGAGACCCTGTCTCAAAACTCCATTTCAACCAAATCCAAGAGTTTAAAAATACGAATGCACCAGGCAGTGGTGGTGCACACCTTTAATCCTAGCAGTCTCCAAAGCTATAGAGAAACTGTCTCAAAATGAAATAAACCACAAACAAAAAATACCAATGCTATTACAAAAAAGAGAGAAATTTAACTAGCACTATTTTCAACTTCATTAAAGAATAAATTCGGAATTTAGGGATCTCACATTAACCTAAAAGTTATGACATCATGAATTCCTTTGAGTCCTGAGTTAAAATGAGTCTCAAGTTCCGACCATCAATCAAGTGTCCAGGGTAGCCTGATTTACCTGAATTCAATTTCCTTGTACTACTAAAATCAAAGACAATATCAAATATTAAGTCCCTATAATATCTGTTGCTTTTTAATATGTAAGAGTACACTCTGCAGGAGAGTTGTTAAGATTACCACCTGGGCAGAATACAGAAAGATGAACATAAACTATACAGAGGTCAATCTCATTCACTCTCCAACTTACCTAACCTCTTCCTTTGGTACCTACTATGTACAGATCTTATATACTTACTTTTATGTAAACTAATTAATTTACATCTATTTGCAATCATACAAAATATATTTCAATACTAAGCATACCAAAACACAATTATTTCAGGAGCATTGCAATTAGTATGTTCTATACTCCAAATTTAGGAAGTGTTCTACTGATAGAAGATGTTAAGTAGCATGATTATGCAATCATGACTATGTATGATATTCTGATGGAACAGTGTATCCTCTAGATGCATACAATCTTTCTTTGCCAATTCCCAACAAAGACGGGGAGAAAAGGGAAAGCATCAAAAGTCCACAGTAAGTATATTCAGTTATTAATTTTATCATTATGACAAGCTAAGCAAATATAGATTAATGGGTATCATATTTGATTGCATATCTGTAGAACTGCAATTTCTTCAGAAATATTATCAACACATTGGTTTTTTTTGTTTGTTTGTTTGTTTTTGAGACAGGGTTTCTTCTGTGTAACTATCCTGTCTGTCCTGGAACTTGCTCTGTAGACTAGGCTGGTCTTGAACTCAGAGCTCTGTCTATCTCTCCATACACCACCCATCCTATTAACAAATAATCGTTATTAATACCTTAGGTGTGAATAACAAATTCCTCAAAAAAAGCCCCTATATTGTTCTTTAAAATGTCTATTATTTGTTATCTTACTTTTATTTACTAGTTTATTTCAGTTTTTGATGACCCAGTCAGACTGCAAGCCAACCACTATATAACCCAGATAAGCCCTCAACTCCTGCCAATCTTCCTGCTATCCCAGCCTCTCAAATCCTAGGATTAACGGGTATTAAGTTTATTTTTTAAATCCTCTAAAATTTTAAGCCTGTTAAAGAGTTGGGCTAATTTGCTTTTAGAATAAGGGTTGCTTTAAAAAAAAAAAATCAATGCAGAGAAGTTAGCAAAATTTTCAATTAACAAGTGACCTTGAAATCTGCTTGCCTGATGCCAAAGTAATTTGAATCAATGTAAGAAAGCACAGAGAATAGGTGAAGATGCCAAAAGTTCTTAATCACAGTGCTTAGGAGAAAAATAAACACCAGCTATTTCTGGGTCTTTCCTCATGACAAATTATGCTAACAGCTGAGTATATTCTGAATAATCTTAGCATATTTACATACAAGCCAATGCCATTTTAAAACTGTTTGTATGTGGCCTGTTTTTATGAGGACTCTGGCACAGCTTTAAGCTCCTGTCTCCTAACGAGTGTAGTTTCTTCATGACTGGAGAAGGGGGTTTGAAAGAGTAAGGGCTGGCAAGATGTTTCTGCTGAGCCAAGCCTGTCTGCCAGAGCTCATGCTCCTTGCAACCCACACAAATGTGTCCTCTGACCCTACATTAGCATCTTGGTATGTTCATACACATCATACATGCAAATAAATGCATTTTCTACAGCAAGGAAGCTCATCTTGTAAGAATGCTGGACATCTAGGTCAAACTTACCTTATAATATTGTAATCCAGGCATCAATAATGAACTGGCATACTAGACATTTGAAGTCCTCATTTCTCAAAGGCTCACTGTCCAGACTTGGTTTTTTTCTGTTTTTTTTTTGTTTGTTTGTTTGGTTGGTTGGTTGTTTTTTAAACAGGATTTCTCTGTAGCTTCTGGAGCCTGTCCTAGAACTCACTCTGTAGACCAGGCTGGCCTTGAACTCAAAGAGCCTCCTGAGTGCTGGGAGTAAAGGTGAGCACAACCAGCCACGCGCCCCCTTCATTTTTTCTTAAAACCCCTGTCGTTTATGTTAAACCTTGTAGCTTTACATCTGCAATCCCTGCAATCAGAAGGCCAAGTCAGGAGGAGACCAGCTAGGGCTACACTGAATCCCAGGACAGGCTACAGTCAGACTGTCAAATCAGAACAGTGCTTAGTTCATAAATACACATGTATCAGTCAATTTTCTCGGTTTCCCAGCACTCCCTGTTCACTTACAAACCTAACTAGGTGAAAAGCTGGCTACCAATTTGATTGTATGGGAAATTCACTTAAATTGCACTTGTTCTGTTATGCAAACATTAATAGGAAAAGTGGTTTCTAAGTAAAATTTTAGTAATTCCCATTCTCTGACTCACCTATTTACTAAGTAAAATATACACGTGACTAAGGTTATTAAAAAAAAAAACTACAGAAAAGTATTCTCATCCAGTTCCACTTTTATGGTAACAATGTCAAACATTAGTTTTTACCAACAAACCAATGACTTTCCATTTGTTTATAGATGCTAAGGAAAGAAAACAATGTTCAGTGCCTGTACTACAATGCTAGAATGCAGTGTTTACATGTATCTTTTCTACTAAGGAGAATTTAAAAGACAGCTGTGATGAAGTCTGATGACAGGCCAAACAAGCCGTAGGGAAAATGTGTCCTAAGAAAGGAAGAATGCTTGGCAGGAACTGAGGTCAGCTTCAGTGAGGCGGAGGCCACTTTTAACACCACTCCCCCGTTTCCAAACTTGTCGGTGTCTCTCCATTATTTTATCTTTTAAAAAGTAAATTTAACAAAACTAGTAAGACTCTTCCAGAAAGAGCTCAAGTATTTATCCAGGAGGGAAGGCTTAACCAGTGGTAACCAGTATCCTTGACTCAACCACAACTAGATTAAATGAACAGTATCTCATAACTTCACACGACTTTCACGATGCATTCTGGAAAAAGACCTAAAGAAGAAAAATCTGTATTTGTAATAGTCTACTCTCAATCATCGTTTCATGCACGATCAAGGGCTTTCAGTCTTCTCCAAGCCATGTAGGAACACACTTTTGCAATGCCAGTTTCCAACATTTAACAAGAAAACTGGTCATTTACTTTTCTAATGAACAAAGGCATACAATTCGAATGATCAAAAAGTAGCAGCTATGTCACCAAACACCTAATGGCTATTTCCTTGGTATGAAACCTCGGCGGGCATTACAATTTTGAGCTCCATAATCTTAATGAGATGACTTCCCAGTTTAATACTGCTCTTACTGGTGTTTTGTGTGCCGTCTAGTAGAAGGGACCTGTCGGCTGCACTCTTTGTTTCTTAACCACATGTTAAGTAAGTAGAGAACCATACAACAATTATCCCTCCAGGGAAAGCTTCCACTTGACATGGAAGATTTAAAAAAAAAAACAAAAAACAAAACAAAACAAAAAAAAAAAAAACACACCAACACTATCCCTAACTTTCAGCCAATTGCAGCCTCGGCTTCTCACCATCTCTACCACTGCATGGAACCTACAGAACGCAGCACAAAGGAGAACGCGGTCGCCTAGGCTGGTGGCACCAGGACTGCGGGGGCTCCTGGCGCCCGCAGGTACCGGGTTAGGCGTGTACAGGAGCCACGCTCCGGGTGG